CAATCCAAATGTTCATCAACAGGAAGATGGATGAACAAATTGTGGTATATTTGTTCAATGGAATTCTAATCAGCAATAAAGAAAAATGAACTACTGAAACACACAACATGGATGAATCTCAAAATAATGAAGCTGTGTGAAAAAAAGCCAGACCAAAAGGGGTGGAGGGAAGAGTACATACCAAATGATTGTCTTTATATAAAATTTTACAAATGAAAACTAATGTAAAGTGATAGAAAGCAGTTCAGTAGATCAGTGGTTGCCCGGGAAGTGGGGGAAGGGGAGCAAAAGGAGTCAGAAAGTAATGGAGCTACAAAATAATGGGGACATAGACATACAATCAAATCAAAAAATTAGGCATGTATTTCATCCAAGAAAAAACGAAACAGACCAAAAAAAAAAAAAAAAGGTTTTATAGGAAAGGAGATGTAATCATCTATATAGATCGTTACTAACAACGTAAAATTTAAAATTTAACCAAAAATGCAGTGTAATTAAATTGGGAAGACAAGAGGGAAAAGATGGGTGAGTGCTATAGAAAATCAATGTTGTTATGATCATGCTTCAGTGAACATTCTGAAATTATATACATGTATTTGTATTTATATTTGCATTTACTGTTTTAGAAAATGTTCCTAAGAATAATTCCTGGAAGTGGAACTGTAATTCAGACATAAGAGTATTTTGCTCTGTCTTGAAACATATCGGCAAATTGTTGCTTAGTATGTATCAACTTATATTTTCACCAGGGTGTTATAGGAGCACTGCTTTACCTTAATCATAACTATACCATAACAATACTATTATCCTTTTAACATCTTGTCCACTTTGATGGGGAAAAATGGCTCTTTTATTAGTTTCCATTATTTTAATTATTTTTGAGTTTGAATAGTTTTCTCATCTTACTCATCTGGTTTTACTTGTTTTTACTTTTGAGGGGTTGACTTTATGTCTTGTCATCTCAAAACCATTGTTTCCTTTAATATTGAATAAATGGAAGATAATTAACAAAATGAATCAAAAACAATAAAGCTTGAATCTGGTTTTCAGAGGAAAAAAAACTTGGCAAAATCACTTTTAAAAAGATACTGCATCTTTGGCTATGTGTATTTTCTCCAAAAAAAAAAAAAAAGGTTCTCCAAGGTCAAGAAGGGAGAGTGTTGACATGTTGTGGGGTTGTTAACCAATGTCATAAAACAATATGTGTACTGATTGTTTAAGGAGAAACTATTTGTTCTGTAAACCTTCACGTAAAGTACAATAAAAAAGAAAAAAATTTAAAAATATATACTGCAGTATGAAAAGACAAGCAGTCATGTTCATGTTACCAATCACAAGTACATAAAGTTTTTTATTACTTTGAAAATAATGTACCGGAAGAAACATAGCCAGTTTTTTTCTGTTTACTTATCTCAACTGATTAAATTTTGAGTTACCAGTTTGTATAGGAGCCATTCTTTAATGGTTTATCTAATTTTATAAGCAGTATTTCACAAATCTTGAAACTAATTCAAGCACAAAGAATCGTTAAAGTGTATTTTATAATGGAGCGGGGGTACAAGTTTCATAATCCAAGGAAGATTGTGTGATTCTTCTTGGGTACTAAGAATTGAGAGAACAGTAGAGCACAGTAAAGCAAACACATAAGTACTTTTCAGACTTTTCTCTCCTAGTTATTAAACAATTTTTTTGAGGAAAGTAAATAATAATAATACTAATGATTTGGTTAGGCAGAAGGAAAGAGAAAATGTGAGAATTAAAGGCCCTTTCTTTCTCTCTCTCTTTTTTTTTTTTGAACATTTTATTGTGCTTTAGGTGAAAGTTTACATACTAAATTAGTTTACCATTCAATAGTTCATACACAAATTGTTCCCTGACATTGGTTGCAATCCCTGCAATATGTAGCATTCTCCCCATTTCACCCTTGGTTCTCTGTTTCCATTCATCTGGTTTCCCTGCCCCTTCCTGCCTTCTCATCTTTACTTTTGGGTAAATGTTGCCCTTTGGGTCTTGTATAGTTGATTGTTCTAAGAAGCACCTTCCTCACTGGTGTTATTGTTTATTTTATAGGCCTGTCTGTTATTTCGCTGAAAGATGATTTCCAGGAGCGGCTTCAGTTTCATGTTAGAAGTGTGCCTTAGGGCTATAGTCTTGGTGGTTCCTCCTGTTTCTATCAGACCAGTAAGTCTAGTCTTTTTTATAAATCTGAATTTTGTTCTACATTTTTCTCCCACTCTAATCAGGAAATTCTATTGTGTCCCTGGTCGGCAATGTTAACCAGGCACCATCTAGCTCTTCTGGTCTCAGTCTAGTGGAGGCTATGGTTCACGTGGGGTAATTTCTTCTTTAAGTCTTTGGTTTTCTTCCCTCTCCTTTGCTCCAGATGGGAAGAGACCAATAGTTGTATCTTAGAAAGATTCTAAGATCCTAGACAACATTAACCACAGTAGGATGCAGAACATTATCTTTAGGAACTATGTTATGCCAAATGGCCTAGATGTCCTGTTATTTAAAAAAAATTATTGAAAAAAACCGATTCTCTTAAGGGAGAAATGTATTTTTAATTTTCTTTTATAAAAAATCAGTGTCAGTTGGCCAGTTCCTCTGATACATAGGATTTATGTTTTAGTTTATATCATGTAACTGGGCTCTTTTGTTTATTAGAATGTAAATTCTACAATAACAGGTATCTTGCCTGCCATATTTACCGCTATACTTCTAGCAGTAAACAAGTGTCTGTCTCAGAGTAGGTGCTTAATAATTGTGAAATGGATGAATTATTTTTGAACTCAGTATATTAGCAATAGTAAGTCATTTCAATCATATATATGGAATTTATTAAATGCTTCCTGAAGTATTAAGGTAAACAACAAAACAACACTTTTTCATTCATTATACCATGTTAATCACAGGTGAGAAAGAGGAGGGCAGGACTAATCTCCACGTAAGTCTCCTTATGAGGCTTGGCATGAGAAGTACGGCTGATCTTAAGAAAAATTCTGATAAGTCAAAAGTACTTTCTCTTTCAATGCCCTTCTTCCCCAAGTTAAAAAACTTTCAAATGGACAATTGTTGAAGCTGGAGATTAGAACAAGTGTATATTCTACTAATCTCTTTACTTATGTATACGTTTAGAATGTTTTGTATATATATGTGTGTGCGTGTGAGTGTGTGTGTGTATATATATGAAATGCTCCATAAAAGTGAAAAACAAAAAACAGCCTTTAAGTACCTGTAGAGCCTTCCCAGTTGGTAGCTGGTAATTTCAACTTACGTGTTCATTCATAGTTGCAGAAGATTTTATTTTTTTTGGGGGGAAGAATAATATTTTTATTTTGATCAGAGAGAAAAAATATAAGAGCCCTCAGAGCTCAAAGGAGTAATGGTAAAAATCCATATACCATGACAGGTGAATGAAGGAAATGTTTTCATAAAGAGCATCCCCTAACCATGAGGTGGCTTTGAGCGAACCATAGAAAGATAGACTAATTGCAAAAGGTGCTTTCTCTGATGGGATGAATTATAAAAAGGCACCCCTTCTTCCGTGCTGATGCAGCATCCTAGTGCATTTGGGTTGGGAATAGAACATGACATAGATTTAGCTTCCACTCAGCCCGTGGCCCGCAGCCTGTGTAGACTACACAAAATTTACCACTTCACATCTATGCACAGCAGCCAAAGGGAGCCATTTTTGGCATCCTCCAGATTACTCACATGGGCAGTAGCCTATTCTGCTTAGTCACAAGGTTTGCGTGAATACTGTAAAATATGATTATCTAGTGACTTGTGGCAAAAAATTAGTGCTTGCTAAATGGACTGAACGAAAGTCACCGCTTTGCTGCATTCATTGTGATGTTTACTTAAATTTTAATTATTTTATTTTTATCACAGATACATTTGTGATTATTTTGGCTACTGGGAAAGGGATCTCAGAACTTTGGGAAGATACGCACATTCCTCCTCCCCATTCTTTCAATAAGATGACACCACAATTCTAGTTTCACTTTCACTTTGGCAAAGGGATGGGAATGAGAGAATGATAAAGATGACATTTTCACTAAGCTCTGCAAGCTGAGACTGTTCCAGGACTGGAAAGGCAGGAGACTTTCAGACTACAAGGCACTTCTTAGTTCTTCAAATGTCATCTGAGCCACACTACATACAGGAAGACAGAGCAGTCATTTGAACATTTTCTGAGTTCCTTCTATGCCCCAGAGTTCATAGATGGGCTTCTTAATTCTTTCACATAGATTTGAATTGCTACTTTCTTTTATATAAAGTAATGTAAAATGGCAAATCATTATACTGAAAAGCACAGTAAGCATTCAAAATTTTCAGAGTTCTTAGATATACATTTTCTTCAAAATGGTGGTTAATAACATTGACTGAATAGGAAAGCATCTACTTTTATCAACAGGACTGATGACAGCATGAGCCCTTGAATGCTGTACTGTCTGCTTATGTTTGATTTGTGTGCAAATGTGCAAACTCCCTGAAGGCACATTCACAAGTCAGTGTGAAAATGTGTAACATCAGGCAGTAAATTCTTGTTTTAGAATCCAATGGAATTTGCATAGTCCACCCAATAAAAAGCCAGACAGATTTATTTCTTTTTAACTAATATTTTCATAAGTATATTTACATATACATGCATATAAGTATGTACATAGGTATACATTTATGTATATATTTATGTATATGAATATTTATGTGTATATTTATATATCCATATTTGTATATATGTATTAATTGTATATGTATATATTTATATATATATTTCCCAATGCCTATGAACCACTTGAAAGGTTTAATTTTCCTAAAAATTAATAGTTACAACTTAATATTTAAACACAACTTAAAGAGAAAAGAACAAACAAAAAGCTCCCAAATATTCTAAGTGGAATTAAAGTTATGGAATTAAAGAAACATATTTACAAGAATGAGACAATTCACTTAAATTCATCTGAAACAGTAAATTTAAAATATGTGTAATATGTGTAGTGCTCGCTTCGGCAGCACATATACTAAAAATAGAACGATACAGAGAAGATCAGCATGACCTCTGCGCAAGGGTGGATGTGCAAATTCATGGAGTGTTCCATATTTTTAATGGTTACACAACTCGAAGAATGTAATCACTAAATTGTACATGTCGAAACAGGTGAATTCCTTTATGTTTTGCTGTGTATATTCTCAACAACAACATAAAACTTTAAAAATAGATAAATAAATAAAATATTTGTAGAAGTAAAGGATGTGGCAGAAATTTGACATCAGCAGACCTCTACGGTTATTAGAGTAACTGATGATCTTTTTATTTTCCATTACTGCCCCTTTCAGCATAAAACAAAAAGTGTTCAAGTGCTCCAGGATATCACGCCCCAAGACAATAGTCAAGTAGCAACATATTATCTATCCATGCCTCTGGAAAAACAAAACAAACCAAAAATACATTTAACTTTTTAAGTAGGTTGACCACTAACCACGCAATAAAAATACCCTATTATTTTTACACTAAACAAAACCACCTAGTAGATGTTAACGTCCAGATCTTTCCTATCATAAAATAATTTCCGTGAACTGAAAGAGGAATCCGATGAATATTTGTGTATTATTTTCCTTCTGGTCAGAAAATTGCAATATTTGGGCATTTTCTAGAAGCCAAGATGTTTTAGTCTACATTTAAATATGTGAGCAATGGATACACGATTCATCTGCAGGTGAGACAATAAGTACATGTATTGCTCTTTATATCAGAATAAAATCAATGTGGATTTCAGAGATGGTGGTCATAACCCTGTCAGCATTGATCAGGTCACAGAAATTTGCATTAAATCAGATTCTAAATGAAAGATAGTTGTCTCAGGTGAAGGAAATTCCCTTCCTCTAAAATGAAGTTATTCTTATTAATGGTGGCTTTTGCCCTTTATTAATAAAGACAATTGCCAAAATGCAAAGAATATCTTCAGCAGCAGCATTTTGTCATGGACAAAAGAACAACCTCCCATGAGAAAATGATACATAACCTCACTACCATCCCTTCAACAAACCAATTTCTTCCCACAAGTAAGAATTTATTCCTTTGCTGCATTTCATCAAGTGATTCATTTTTAAAAGGAAGTGTAGGAGAAGATAAAACATTTAAAAAGTCATGTTCAAGGTAACTTGTCTATGTCTTTATAATGACAAGCAAATAGGAAAAGCAGTAATTCAATAATTACTCATATGGGAAAAAATATAAGCAAACATGGTTTAAAAATATTTTGTTTTTATCTGGAGGGGAATTTCTCAAATGCCTAGTCATCACTTATCAAAGAACACAGGTTCCTAATGAACACAACAGCCAATTTCTCACAAGGTATTAGAAAAGAAGGGAAATCGATCCTGGTGATAAATTGAAAGTAGCTGAGAAGCTCTAGAAATGGTAATTTCTGGACTTTGCCCCATGATGGTTACTATTGACGTTTGTCCCTGGGTCACACAAACAGTTTTTGCTCTGCTAGTAACTAAAAGGTGGTTCTAATCCACTCAGTGGGCACCACTGAAGGCGACTGTTGTTGTTAGCAGCCGTGGAGTCAATTCCAACTCATGGTGACCCGACCTGTGCAGAGTAGAACTACTCCACAGGGCTTACCAGCCTGTGACCTTTCAGAAGCAGATCCCCAGGTCTGTTTTCCAAGGCACCTCTGGGTGGGTTCAAACTGTTTGTGCCACCCAGGGACTCCTCCTTAAGATTACAACCATTGAAAAACCCTGTGGAGTGCGGTTCTACCCTAATACACATGGGGTTGCCAAGTGTCGGAATCGACTAGATGGAAAAAGGTTTTTTATTGACATCAGCATTCCGTGTAGGACTGCTTTACATTTTTATGGTCACCAACTCCAATGTGCAAAAAAAAAAAGGTATTTTTCTTTAAAATTGAGTTCCATTTATTTGCCTCACTTCTGTTCAGAAGGGGAATGTAAGCCAAATGAAGGTAGTTCAGTCATTTCCAGTTAAAACTCAATCTGTTTTGTATAACTACTCAGTCTCAGTCTCTTCCGTAAACTACTCAGGATTCTGACCACCACCATCACACCTTCCCCTTCACTCTAGGAGACTGAGTGACATACGTTGTGTGAATTCTGGGTGGGGTAGTGGGAAGGAAAAGGAGGTCAATTTATTCTGTTCTCACTGTCCTCTAATGAAGAGTAACATCCCCAAGATTTCTATCCTTGTTGAATCGGCTGATGATAACTATGATCCTGCCATACATACTTCCAGATAATAGATTCTGGACTTCTTCATCCTAGCTATGTTGGTTCTGCTAGTTTACCAAACCTCTCAGCTGTTTCTCCCTGCCACGTCATCTCCATGGTGGGTATGTGTCTGTGAGACCTTCCTTAAGTCTTAGTTCCTCATGTTATTGCTATTATACTCTTCAGATGCCATGTTGGACACAAAGCATCTCTATACAGCTTTGTGTCTTCTGGACTGCACCCTAAGTAATGAGACACAAACTCCCTCAGTTCTTGGATCCTTCAAGCATTTCCCAATTACCCTGCCTACCCCAGCCACAGCCACTAGGCTTTTTTCAGAGAACCTCAAATCTCATCTCTCCAAATTGTTCTTTCCCACCTATGGTTGGACTGTTATCTTCTTTGGAAGGAAAAAAGTTCTTAGTAATTATGAACTCTTCTCCTTTCCAAATTTATTCTGTAAACTCTACTTGTTCAGACTTCTAGGGTTTTGACCCTACTTAAAGCCAAGTTTTTATAATTCTATTCAGTGTCTGGATCCTGCAAATGAACGTCATGATTTTAAAGATATGTATCTAAGCTATTAATTTTAAAATACCTACTTAAGAACTCAAAAGCCAAGCAATTGATACTTTATTCTTTTTATACCATGCTTACCCCGAGGGAAGTTCATTTGGAAAGCTCTTGAATCAGCTTGAAAGGAGATGTGGGGAGAAGGAAAAGGATTTGAAAACACTAGCATACATAGCTCAATCAAAATATTACCCTGTTACACCTTAACAGCTTACAAAGCAAAAGGCCTTAGCACACACTGTTCCTTCTCCCTGAAGGGCTCTCCTGCCTTTTTCACCTGAACCGCCACTCACCTGGACCCGAGTCAGCCACTTGCTCAGAGAGACATCCCGTTTCAACTGATGTCACTGTCATAAGGCTCCTTCCCTCCCTTTCATAGTACTTGTCATCATTTGTGATTATGTATTTAATCTTCTGTTTATTTAATGCCCCCTTCCATTAGACTACATATGAAGTTTAATAGAGTTGGCTCCTTTTCTGTTTTACACATTGCTGCATTCCCAGCACTTCACATAGCGCTGGCACATAGTAGGTGGTAAATAAATATTTATTAATAAATATAAATTACCATATTATATTATTGGTTTATATCATAAATTCTATAATTTTAATAAGGAAAAAATTATTCCTAATTGAAAACTGAGGAACTGTAGGCTAAAATATATGAAATGGCATATACCATGTCATGCAGGTTATGTCACAGACGTGGGATTTAAGTTTCGGTCCTGTGAACCCTGGTCCACTGCTCTGTCCACTGTACCACATCCCTGTCCATTTTCATCTTTAATCACATCTGGGGATCTGTTTTATAAAGGATTCTTCTAAAAACAAAATTTTTACTAATTTACTTATTTTTTGTTGTTGTTGAGAATATACACAGAAGAACATACACCAATTCAATAGTTTCTGCAGGTACAATTCAGTGACACTGATTGCCTTCTTTGAGTTGTGCAGCCATTCTCACCCACCTTTTCTGAGTTGTTCCTCTCCCATTCACATAAACTCATTGCCCTCTAAGTTTTCTTTCTAAACTTTTAAGTTGCTATTGTCAAATTGATCCCATATAGATAGATCTTGAAAGAGCACAATGCTCAAGGCAGACATTCTTTACTACTTAAGCCCAACTATTGTTTGGTTTTAAGAAGACTTAAGAGGATATTTCTGGTATAAGGTTTAACGACTATCGCAGGGCAATAGTTTCGAAGGGGTTTTATAAAGAACTCTTAATAAGCGTTCGCTTAGCAAGGTAAAGTATTACTTTTGGTAGTGAAAGCAGCATGGTATAATAGAAAGGACACAGAAGACAATGTGTAGTTTTGAAATTGGGAATCATGTGACACAAGAGAGTATTGTGATTATTAAACTGCATGATAGTTACTATCATATATTGCCACAATGAAGTAAGAAATGTTTTGCCGAAGAAAAAGCCAAAATATCTAGTCTATCTAGGACTGACTTATAAAAGTTTCATACCAAGTATATTTGTCCCCTAGGGCTGCCATTACAAAGTTCCACAAATTGGATGGCTTAAAACAACAGAGATGTATTCTTTCACAGTTTTGGAGGCTAGCAGTCCAAAATCAAGGTGTTGGCAGGGCCATGTTCCCTCCATGCTCTCTAGGGAAGGACTCTTCTTTGCTTTCCAACTTCTGGTAGCCCCAGGAGTCCCTTGGCTTTTGCCAACATAATTCCAATTCACAAGGCTGTCTCCCTATGTGTCTTTGTCTCTGTGTCCATACTTCCCACTTCATCTAAGGCCACCTCTTATACTGAATTAGGATCCACCCTACTCCAGTATGCCTCATCTTAACAGACTCTATTTCCAAATAAGGTCATACTAAGATTCCAGAAAGAACATGAATTTTGGGGGACACTGGTCATTAAGTGTCAGAATCAACTCAACATCAATGGATTTGGTTTTTTGGTTTCTATTCAACGCAGTACGTCTAGAATAACAAATTTTTTAGTCTTCTTTATAAGAATGCAGAAATAAGTCCTTTAGCTACAGATGGAAATGCAGAAACTGGCCTATTTACAAAGTGGTCAGCTGACAAGTCCTATAACATGTAGTGGCATTCACAATCATTAGACAAAAAATATGCCCAAGTTATGACTCATTCTATTATTTACCTCTCAATTCACCAAATTCAAGTTCTCAAAGCCACAATATCTCATAAGTGCTGAATGTACTTTATAGTTCTAGCTTTTTTTTTCAGAAAAACAAGTAATATCAACTTCTAATATTAAAAGGATTCCTGTGAAGTTTGATGTTTTATTTTATTTTGAAAGTTCACAT